ATATATATATATATATATATATATATATACACATACACACACATATACATATACATATACACATGCATACATACATACACACACACACACACACACACACACACACACACACACAGTGTTGTTGAATTGTAATTGAAAAGCTTTCTGAATTCTGAACAATACTGTGTACATACCCCAAATGGTTTAGGCCTGAGGTGACACAGAGTGCATCTGTACAAGGCATTTGCTGCCTAGCAAGTTTTTCACCTCTTTAATACTTCTGCGTATCAAAAGCTTGGCATTTTAAAGGAAACAGCCAACATTCTCTTCTGACTAAAAGGTCCTCTCATTTAATTGTCCCAAATTTTTAAGAGAGGGAAAAAAAGCATTCAAGTTCAGCTAAGGGCATTCAGTCTTATCCCTCAGCACTCCAAATCAAAAGCCCTCAGTATTTTAACACAAACATTCCTCCACAAGGAACAAAACGTGTCAGTTATACTCCGTCCAGCTCACTGCCTACCCTGGGCTAAGCCATGGTGGCGGAGGGGCTTTAGCGAAGGCCAAAACTGAAGACCCCAGGGAGGGTCCAGTAAATCCTCAGCTACAGAAGTCCAGCCTGCCTCGCAGGGTTGCTGCAAGGGAGATGAAAGGAAAGGAGAAAAGGCAGTAGGCAGAGGAAGCTGACAGGAATTGGCCCGTTTTATTTTGTAAAACATGGCTTGGGACTTGTGGGGATTCAGCTAATTGTGGCCTATTTGGCAAGCCATAATTAAGCAAGTCTTGGCCTAGCATGATCTGTGAATTGGATCCTAAAGAGATGCCTTTACCTGTCTATGTGGAATCTTAGGCTGGAAGGGATTATCAGGCCTATCAAAACCAACCACTTGCATCCCTAACAGACTTCAAAAAATCCTAAGGGACAGACTGAAAAAGTATATTAAAACAACATGGTCATATACATATTTACTGAGGAGAGAAAACTATAAACAACTTAGTAGAGATCCTGACTTCTAATGTCAGTAATAACATTATTGATCTATTTTGTCATGGTTCTGGTTTATATTTTTATTTCTGTTTGCCATCCAAAGTTCCTCTAAAAGCATTTTTCTCCTTTCCTTTTCCTTACAGCGGTGAGAAACTCAAGGCATGTTTTTCAAAGCTGTTCTGTCATTCGAACTAGGTAGATGAACTAAGTTCATGGAAATATGTATCCTTCAGATCTTATTTACAAAGCTGTCTTGTTTCAATTAACTAGAGTTAGGACTATGGATCTGGGCCTAATGCAAAATGCTAATTAATCTGAAGTAGAAGAAATGAAGCCTGAGATTTGCTGTGCTATTACAACATTAAACAATGTTTTAATCTTTACAGAGGTAACAATTTTCATATTGTTTTCTAGCTATCTACATTCAGTCCTGTGAAGTTACCAGGAACTGAATCTGACCTGAGGAAGATTTCTGTCACTTACTGCAAATCTGTTGCATCTATTAGGCCTACCCTTATTTTGTCCCATATAATTCCAGTTCAATTTCGGAATTTTGATTGACCTAACTCATAAAATGAACACTTATATATAACAAATCAAAACCATTCTGGGATCATACTATGCAGGCTGATTCAGAACAAGTGAAGCCAAATATTTCCTCATGTAGTGCATAGTGAAATGCAGAAGTTACTTCCTTATGATGCGATAGTGGTTATCAAATCTTCAAATGTTAGACAAACTTATGGCCATCTAGTACAAGAGCTACATACTGCCTACAGAATTGGAGCCTGTTTGTGAGTTTTTTTTAGGCATCTGATAAGCCATTTGTGTGGGAAACTATCTGAACAAAACAAATCAGCAACAATAGACATGCATAGGAGTATGTTGGTAGATCCTGTCTTCTTTACTATAAACATTTAGATTTGCTGAAGTTCCTGTGAATTAACAGATAAAGTTGAATGCATCTCATCATAACTAATCCATTGGATAAGTTTCCCCAACTGAGGCACCTTCTTGATATTGTATAATTGTGGGGTCAGCAGAAAGATTTTGCTTTTCAACCATTTCACAACTGGAGATAATGGGCAATATTTCTAGGTACAAATTAATATTTAAGTAATGGCAACGTTCTTTTAAATTTAATTAACATACACTTCTTGGTGAAGAAAAACAGGCCAACCTGTCAAGAGATACTTAGGCATAGATGTAAATTATTGCAAAAGATAGGCCAAGGTATACATTAACTTAATTAAATTAAATTAATAATTAATTAAAAATAGGTACACAAATGAAAAAGTGATTTGGAAATTAGTGTATACTATTGGTAGCAGTAAGACAAAGTCCTAAATAGGTGAAACCTGAGATGGAGAAAAAATGGGAAAGTCCCCAGTGTCCCAAGTCAAGAGAAAAAGAACCCAAAACATGTAAGGGCAGTAAATACTTGGGAAAGATTGAATGCCACACTTTAATTTAACAGGATGGATGGCCACCTCATTCGGCCTAAACTGTAGGCCATAGATATACTGTGCATATAGTTGCTATGGCATTAGAAAACTTATAAAACATTAAGCACAACAAGTAAAACATTAATTAAGCAGTAGTTATGCGGGATATATTTCTACTGTTTGCAATCCATAAAACTTGTTACTTTAGAATGAGGTAATTACATTAAGATTGAAATATACAAAATATGGAGAAAGTGTCACTGAACAAGTGGGGCAAATAATTAGCACTAAGTATATGGTTTTTTACATGTTTGCAAAGAACATATACCAATATGTTCAAATACTATTTTTATCCTCATATGCAGGCAAATCTTAAAATTATTCTGTGCGCTGTCAGTAGGAAAAACACATTAATTTAGATCCAAACTCTGTTGTAGTAGATCAATTGAACAGATAACATTTTTCAATCGTCGCATCATTTTCTTGTATAAATCACTCATATAGATTTAGACTATTTATATAGTCTAAGTGCTACTACATGCCCACAGGCTCATACAACATGTGTCTGTACCATATGTAATGCTCAAGCGGGCCTCGCATAATCCTGGTGCTGCAACTGGCCCTTTTTCACAGATGCCATTTGGGCATGACGTGGTGGGGCCACCCAGGGGTCAGCAAGGACAGCGCTTGGGGGCCCTTCCATCCAGGCTGAGGGAAGCCAGAGGTCGGCTGTTGCTCAGGCGCAAGGGGAAACGGCACCAAACCTTGGGCACTATACCTTACGGAAGCTGCTTTCTCCTGGGGTCTGAACATCGCTTACAAATCTCCTGCGTTCTGGATTCCAATGAGGAGGTTTCGAGACACTGTCAGGCTCGCACAACGTGAGTTGGGCCAAAACGGGTTTCACTCTATGCACAAACACACCCGCAACCACGCAGCATATTGCAGCATGGCTGCCTGCCTGCCTGCGGCCGCTCAGCGCCAAGAGCCTCCACGGGCAGCGGCGGGAGAAGCGCCGATGGAAGCGGCCCTTTCAGCACTTGGACAGCTGCTCGGGCCCGCCCGGCCGAGAGCGCCGGAGACGCCGCCCGCCTCGCTCTCCCTCTCTGGGCGAAGCGGCGGGCGGGCGGGCGGGGGGAGCGGTCCCGCGGGCCCCGCCAACCTCCCTTCCTCCTCCTCCTCCTCCTCCTCGCTGGCCTCCATCAACAGCCAAGGCCGGCGAGGGCGGCTGCTGTTGCTGCTGCAACCCAGCGCCGGAGGGGGAGGGGGGGGCAGAGGCTTAAGCGCGGGGAAAACGGAGGCGGCTTCCAAACCTTGGCGGGGGGGGAGGGGGGGCTGGAGAGCTTCGGGCCGAGAATCAACCCCCCGCCTCCCCCCCACCGGAGCGGAAGCTGCTCCCATCTTGGCTCGGGTAAACACCGCGGGGGAACCGAGACCGACGCTCAGCCCATCCTCGCCGGAGGAGCCCCAGAAGGCTTTCCCACAGCAGGCGGGCGGACGGCGGGGATGGACCCCCTCCTCCCCGGAAAGGCGGCACGTGCAGCCGGCCTGGCCCCACCGCCCGCGGGCGGGCCCTCCCCTCCCTCCCCCTCCGCCCCGGGCGTGCCTTGTCAAGGGAGGCGGCGGCGGCGGCTCCGAGCCGGCGGTCTTTCCTGAGGGCAGCGCCTGCTGCGCCCTTGACATGACGGCGGCGATTTGCCGGCGCTCTTCCGGGCTCAAGCGGCTCAGGTCCCCCGCCGCGGCCCCGGCCACACCTTCGGGTAGCCCGGCCAGGCTCTCGCCGCCCTCCAGGCTGGCTTCGTTGCCCATGGTGGGCGAGGGCGGGCGCGGGCTAAAGGGCTGGTGGGCGCGGCCCCAGGGCCCTTCCCGTCCGGCCGCTCAGTCCTCCTCCGCGCGGGGACTCTCCATGGCCGGCCGGTCGGCCGGGCGCCTTCCGTGGCTGCGGCTGAGGCGCTGGCGGAGAAAGAGGCAGCCGGGGGAAAACATCCCAGAGTTCCCCCGCTCCGGCCGCCCAGCGCATGCGCCGGAGAGGGAGGGAGGGAGGGGGTCTTCCGCTGGCCGGCTCTTCTCTTCGCCCGCGCCGAGGTTTCTGCGCCCGCCCGGGGGGGGGGGCAGGGGGCCCCTGCACGCGCCCCGCTTTCCGGCGCCTCCGGGGAGGCGATGGGGCGGGAGAGGGAAGGGGCTCCGGCAACAGGCGGAGGGGCTCCTTTTGGCCCCTCTACACCATCCACGGCGAGTCAATACGGGAAGAGAGAGAGAGAGGCCCCCACGAGACCTTAAGGGTACAGAGAAGATGGGATGCGTGGAATGGAAGCGGAAGCTGACCGGGTGGCTTCGTCCCTGGAGCTGGGATGAAGCCCCCTCCCCTCCCGGCTCAGTGCCGGAATGGAAAGGGGACCTTCCCAGCCTCCATGGCGGCAAGTTTTCTGTGCCACAAAAGCTCCCCGGGAAGGGAGGCCCCCCGCTCGGCGCCCATCGAGCCTTGAGGCGAAGCTGCCTTCCTGTGGCTCAGAGGCCTTGCCTGGCTTCTGGCTTTCTGGAATGCGAGAGGACCCCCCCCCCCCCATATGTGCCTGGCGTCCTTGCCCACCGCATAAAGTGATGAAAGGCAACCTTTTGTATCTCTGTTGTGACACGGCCCTCAAGTACGTAAGTGGCAATGTTTGCATCGTCATGCTCAAGCCAACCAGGGTGTCCTAATAGCAGTTGCAGCTGCCTTCCAGGTGTTTGAGGCTTTTCTGGGCTTTCCTTAAAATGTGGCACCCAGAAGCAGGCAGAGTAACTGAGGCGCAGGGGGATGGAGTGATGCCTTCGTATGGTTTGGGAATTGTGTTGAGGTAACCTAAAATTAAATTGGCCTTTTTGGCAGCCCCTTCGCATGGCTAATTCACAGGCAGCCTACAGTAAACTCCTCCCCCGACATCCCTACCTGCCAGTTCTACTGACTCACTGTCCCTCTCGGCTCTTCTGCCCCCCAGACTTCACGGTGGAGCGGAGCAGTCTCTGCTCCTTGGTATTTTTTAATGGACGACAATGTGCAATTCCCCCTCCCCACTTCGTATCATGAAAATGCCATTTAGCCATTCAGGAGCAGAGTCCTCTCCCAAATCCAACCACCAAAACTGGGCACAGGGCATGAATTCAAAAGAACCCAGCAGTAAAAGACAGTAGTACCAGAAGCAGCTAGGAGTTCAGTTCTGGAGCAGCAATCCAGGAAAGAAAGAAAAAAAAGGCACATTTTCAGTAAAATGTCAAATTCCTCCAATTGGGAGTGCCTATTGAGACAAATGTTCCATCAAGGAGAGATTCTGGAATCGTATGATGTGAAGGTGCTTTTAACATGCCCAGCTCAGCCAGCTGGGCCCACCATGGACCCAATGCCCCGGAGCCCTTGGCGCCCGATTTGAGAGATCTCTCTTGAGGAACCTCGCAGCACAAGTCATTGCATTTAAAATGCATTTCATGAGTGTTGTTTTTGCATGTCTGACTGTTTTGGAAGAAATAAATCCAGCAAAATGGAAATTCTGTGCCATTTACATAAATCAATGCACGTCATTTCATTTCATTGCATGTGTTGTCTGTGGCAACCCTAGAGGAAATATTTCCTTCTTTGGGATGAGCAGGACTTCTCACATGATGCAAAACTACACTATAATATTCTGATTCCCCTGCACCGAGGAACTATAACTCAGGATTCCAACTCAGGATTCATAACTCAGGATTCCAACCCAATGGCCTGAATTCTGAACTGTCATTGTTTTGGACATTTGTTACCTTTGTTACAGGATGTAGAATAGCACCCTAGTTAATTGGGAGTGCCTCACAAGTGTGTTATTTTGAAAATGAGAAATCTAGATAAAAAGCCACATACGAAGAGTTAAAAACAGGGCTGCTCAAAGTATTTTACTCAGCACCAAAGTTCCTGGAACTGACTTCTGGTTAGAAATAAATGGAATGTGTACATCAATGTATGTGAATGTTTCTTACACTTCATTTGATTCTTTTATTCTATGAAAAGTTTATAATAAATATAAATAAACAATGAATTTAAACAAATGTGTTTATGTGTGTGAAAGAGGAAGAGTGTGGAACTATTTTTGTTTTCATTTGGGCTCCATGTACCCCAGATGGTTCACCATGAAGGAAGCGTGACAGTTGGCTCCATTTACACAGCCTGTTCAACCCAGTTGTGTATTTCAGGGCAGTGCAGAAGCCTTTCCCCTTCTCCCTGGGCCTCGGATATGCAAGCAAGAGGTCTCTGTGTCAGCCACAGCTTCTCTGACTGGCAGGCAGGCAACTGGGCAGCCAGCCGGGGGATTGGGGGACGTGCCCTGTGGCTGTCCCGAAGCTCAGCCGTAGGGAGCACCTTGCCTTTTCTGCTCCTCCATGGTCCGTCTCTGTGATGTGGCTCTCCCAAAGTTTGCCAAGTTTAGAGTTAGTTACATGACAATGGCTTCAGTGCAGTTTGGAGTCAACTGCCCCAGGAAATAAGGTGACAATTTATCTTGTTCACTATGTTCTGTGAGAACATGGCCATTTTTTTTATTCTGGGGTTTGATCTTGCAGTTGTGGCTGCCATCTTGACGTCCTCTCCGTGGATACCTCTACATTGATTTACTCAATATGATAGATATTGATTTGTGCAATATAATACATTAACATGAAATTTTAATGTCTTCTTACTTCACATAATGTCTCGTCCTCACATTTTGCTAAAAGTGGCATGAAGATGCATTTTATACCATCTTTAAAGAATATATTCCCAAGGCTGGATGCCATCTGGATCAGGTCATCTGGTGGGCCTTAAAATAACTTGCAGAAGGAGAAAGACCAAAACCCAGAACCAAAATCAAAGCAGGCACGCACGCACGCACACACACACACACACCTGACTCACAACAGGGAGAAGGCTTAAGTCCTCTTGAAACTCTTTGTAGCATCTTTCAAAACAAAGCAAGGAGAATCTCCCTTATAGGTTTTCCACAAGGGAAACTCCAAGGGAATTGGATTCTGGGATTTGAAAGTCTGGAAAACCAGAAGCCCACGGTGTAGAGAACATCTTTATTCCTAAGGTTTTTCACTTTGTTTGCCTTAAAAATAAGAGAAGAGAAGCAACAGAAGTTAAGCTCATAACTAACATGAGAAAGCTCCTGAGATGACCTCGAGATACACATTAACTTCTCTGTAAAGGACAGTTAGTGATTTGGCCATCTTAGAAGTAGAATATCATCACTGCAGTAACCTATTGAGTATTTATTTAACATTATTCCACAAGGACAAAGTTTTCTCAGGCTCAATTTTCTCAACACTGGGAGAAAATGGCTGTCGAGTCCCTTTGGTTCCCCCTTTTATATGGATGCTAGCTAGTGATGTACGTGAAGTGGGTGTTCTTTGAAATATTACGGGACATTGTTTCTCTTGGACTTCCTCTGATAAACTTAATAGGGCCCTCTTGATAGCCCTTGTGCTTGGAGGAAAAAAACCCAGTGTTGAGTTAATTTTGTGAGTTTGCTTGCAAGCAAATTTTATGTGACAGACACAGATAACTAATGGCAGAAAGATAGATCTCTGAATCTATTATTCTGTGTGCAACTCAATCTGCCTGCCTGCTTTGCCTGATTTTGGGTAAAAGTTGCTCTTTTTTAATTAAAAAAATCAATATTTACATACAAGCCATGCCCTGCCAGTCACATGACCACCAAGCCACACCCACAAATTAGGCCCCACCCAAGAACTGGTTGTTAAGAAATTTGAATCCAATCCCTGCCTCCTTGTATTTTTGTGTGTGTGTGAGAGAGAGAGAGGGAGAGAGAGAGAGAGGTTAGATCAGATCTGTCTCTCTCTCTCCCACCAATGTCAGCAAGCCACCATCAGTCAAAATTCATATTAGTAGTCCCCGGGATTTAAAATTATGAGTTTGGTGGTCCCTGAGGTCCAAAAGATTGGCGCCCCCTGCCTTAGAAGATGAGGGCAAAGCAACCGAGGCCCTCTCGTCAGCCCTATCAGCTGAGAGAATCAGTACATGCGCTGGGCCTCAGCGTGCCACACAAGTTCTCCCCCACTTGCTGATTTCCTGGCCTGCTCCTGCAGCCCCCTTGCTCCCCTCCGGCTTCTCAGCCCCGATGCTCTGCTTTCTTCAGGGCTGGATGGGCTGAGGCTCTTGGGATCGGAGCTGGGAGAAATAAGGCTTAAAGCTGGCCTTTCAGTGGACCAGTATTGGAGTCTGGCACCTGACAGCAGATTGGGTCTCCAGGACAGAATTTCTGGTAGGCATGGCTGCTGCCTTTGGGAAAGTGAGTAGAACACAATGGATGGAAATTCTTGATCCAGCTTTCCTTGGCATGGGTCTGTTGTGCCTGGCTTAGATCAGCAGTCAGGCAACTTCGAGGCACCTAGGACTCACCCCCCTTCCTCCATTCAGCTGCCCCTTAAAATTGTCTAAAGCAGGGGTGTCAAACTCAAGGCCTGGGCACCGGATCTGGCCCGCAGGGACAACCTGCAAACAGCAAAGGAGTCACCTGCAGTGCCTCTGCCAGCAGAAACAGAGTTCGGGGTGGGCATGTGTCTCTCCTGAGCTCTGCTTTCACTGGCAGAGGGTTGCAAGGAGGCCGTCACAGCCGAAAGCAGAGCCTGGGAGCCCATTTTCACTGGCAGAGCACTAGGGCCACCAGAGGTGCCCCCGACATGAGTGATGTCGAGCTGGCCAGATACCCTCTGCCCCCCCAATGCCTGAGGTCAAACACAACCCTGATGTGGCCCTTAATGAAATGGAGTTTGACAGCCCGGTCTAAAGAATCTCTTATTTCTGG